TTATTTACTAAGGAATTATACATTTGAGATGTGGATCATAGAAGTTGACCTTGTTTCCATTGTCCATGCCTCGCCAATCCAATGATGTAACGTTATTCCTAAAAACCAAATGGTGGCTTCTTGTTTGTTTTATTGAAATTACAAGTTTAAATAATTTATTGTGACATGATTAAGAATTGAAGGCGTAACTTTCAACAAGTAATTCTTTTCCGTTTTTTTAGTAAACCATAGTTAAAATCTTGCGAGGAAATAAAATAAGTCTCAAAGAATGCGTGAGCTGTGAAACTTTCAATTTGATTTTTACGATCATTTAGTTTTAAAGGATAAAGACGAGAATAAGCCGTGAATTTGGTATTATTGAGATTACTCTTATGAATTAAGTTATTTCATTTATGAAACACTTTTTCCTTACATTCCTTCCGAGCAAGGTTGAATTACTGCTTTACCAGGAGAAAGAGGACAAGCAACTTATCCCTACAAGATATCAAGTTTCTGGTTAATGAAAAAATTCGTTTTTAATATTAATAGTAAAAATTGACAGTAGACGTGCCGATCGCGTGAAATGTCGTCCGACTGATATATGGTAATACGTAATAATAATACTGTGTAACTATTGACTAAGCACAATTCAAAAATCATTCAGCAGCCCCATATTTTTTTACTCGCTTCTGTTCTTGAGTATAAATAGAAGACTCTGAAAATATTATAAATATAAATATAAAATATAAAAATATCATATAATATTTATATAATAATATTCAAACATTTAAGCAAAAAATAAAAAATGTCTAATATAATTGTGGTATGTTTCAGTATTTCTTTTAAAAATGATAGATAGTAGAAAGATATATTTTCATAAAATCTAATAATCTAATGATGCATTATTTTGTTATTGTTGATAATTTGTAAAAAAAAAATTTTTTTTTGTAAAATAAAAATAGAATTTTAAAAATATTATTATTCATATTTATTGCTTTATTATTAATAATTAGCCAGGTGTTTATACTGCAGTTATGAAAGATGTAATTGAAAATGTGAAAAAAGACTTTAAAGACAGTGGAATTGATGAAGCAGTTTTATATGAACTAGAGCGCGTGAGCAATATTATAATTTTTTTAATAAATATTGCCATTATTATTGATTATTATATATACTTTTATTTAATATATATAAATATATATAATGATTTTTAGAATTGGCTACAAAAACTTAAAAGTTTCAAGGTTGCATCTTGGAATCATATTGATGGAAATGTAGGAGAGGAGACTAATGGCAATACAACAAATGTACCATTTATTCTACCCGCTACAACTACAGAATCAACTAATGTTTCATTAAAAGTAATTAGAAAATAAATAATAACATCATAATAGTAATATATAAATATTATTATATATGAATATTGTTATAATAAATCTATTTATATATTTCAGTACCCATCAAATGAATTTGAAAAGCCACCCCCAGCAGCTGCAGATCTTCCAACTCTTGCAATCAATTCTGATGCTACTTCTAATGGAATGAGAAAACCCCAATCTTATATGGTATCTAAAATATCTAATTTATTTCTTATTGTTATTAAAGATTATTAATAATATTCTATGCTACATGTTTTTCCCTGTTAAAATAATTTCTTTTTCGCGCCCTCCTCTAAATAATAAATAAATAAAAGGATGCTAATAATGTCTACACGAAATCAAATATACCTGATTCCAATAATAAATACCTAATCAATCATATAAACAATCAAAATCATCTTAATAACAATAATCATCATCATAATAATAATATCAATAATAATAATAATAATTCATTAACACAATCACAAACTCAATCATTATCATCATCTTCATCGCCGTCAATAGCACCAATACCACCACCACTAACGAGCGTTCCACAAATGAATATTTCACAAACAAACATTCCACAAACGACATATCCTGATACATATGAGAAAAAAAGAAAAGATAGCACCACTAAAAGGAAATCGTATGTTGATGGAGACGATATCAATTCTGATCTTGATGATTCAGATGAGGATGAAGCAGCTGCTGAAGGAGAATTTCAAAATATCATTTTATGTTTATATGATAAGGTGAAATAAAAAAAAATTTTTCTTTACCATTATTATTATTTTAATTATTGATATATTATTTATATTATCCATTTAGGTGAGTCGCACGAAAAATAAATGGAAGTGTCAATTAAAAGATGGAGTTATGTTAGTAAATGGAAAAGAATACCTTTTTCAAAAAGGGAATGGTGATTTTGAATTTTAGTCAATATTGATGGCAGTAAAAGTAAAAATAATAACAATAAACTTGAATAATAATAAAAAAACCGATTATTATTATAATATAATAGAGATTTTTATAATATTAAAAAAAATAAAAAATAAAATGATTTATTCATTCTATCAAACTATAAAAATTTATTATTATTATTATATAAAAAGTTGATTTTATTTTGCTTCTAAATAAATAAAAAAAATAAATCATTTATTTTATAGAGCAAAAATAGGACTACGGACAATTATGATTGAGATCATATACTCCATGATAGAAAACTTTATTTTTGTCACCATTAAAAGCTATGAGCATGGATTTTGTCAAAAACGGGTAGAAATGACCAAAAACTTGCCCTGCTCTAATCAATGGATTGATATATAGGATCTTGGTGTCTCTCTTTAAGAGCTGCATTTTTTACTATGGTTGGCTCGGTCTAAAGACAACCTATTGCTGCGCCATGTAACCAA